CAAAGTAACTCTGTGATACTGGAGTCAGAGCGGGTGGATAATTTTCAGCTGGCTGCAGATGACTTTGGGAGCAGATCGAGGGCTGCAGCGAATGCACCCCTTCTTCAGCCAGCAGAAAGGTTGTGCGATGCCGTGCAAGGTGCAGTCACAGCCGTTCGATGACGCAGGGGACGTGGCCCATGAGCTTCACATGAGAGCGGCAGCTCAGCAAGCCTGGTTTGCGATCCGCCAGCAGCCTCCCCAAAGCCACAGATTAAGGTGTTGGAGGACATCAAGACAGTCATCAGGGCAGCATCTAGGTGAAAATAAATGGTCGAAAAAACCCCCACACTGAATTCTTCTGAAAATGGCAGATGAAATGGCTTTCTCCAGGCTTAGGAGCCTATTTGCTTCATTATCCTTTCCCCTGTTCAGTATGACTTCCCCTTGCAGCTGATTTTCAGGGTGTAGTTCCCGGTACCTCCGGGTGTATCTGTGTTACGGTTGGAGCCGTGGCACAGGGAAACGGGGCGATAAGCGATGGACTGCCTGCCCAGGACATCCCCATCGGTGCAGTCCTGCTGCAGACATCCCAAAATGGGTCCAGCTGCCTGAACATGGAGAACATCCAGCTTTCGAGGCAGGTTTTGCAGCTAAAAAACTCTGTTAAAAGGGCTATTTTGAGGTCTCCCATTTAGTGTCTGATCTGCATCTTTCAGATCCATCGCAGGACCTGGAGGTAATTTTTCCTAACGGCCCAGGACTGAAAACTCAAGTCTATATCCAGCTTCATTTAAATGAATAAAGCTGCTCCCGCTGACTTCCGAGGGGACTGGATGAAGGGGCCAGGGTAGAAGCCAGTCCATGTTCTCGCTGGCTCGTCTATCTGCACACACAGGCCACAATAAAATCCAATTTGCTTACCCGTAGCTCTGCTGGCGCTTGCATACTGAGCGGGGCTTAAAGCATTTTAGAACTCATAGAGTAATAAAAATAAGTAATGAAATATATTCATAATATAGCCAGAAAATATATGAGCAGTCTCAACCTGATGTAATTGAAAATGGATTTAGCAAACTCAGGCTCAGAACAGTGACCTTATTTTGTAGATGCTTTAAGCTATTTGTATTGCTGAGTGAATTTCCAAAAACCCAGCCATCAGATTTCCTATATTTTGGACGATTTATGTTCTTAGTTTGATTTCTCCCCTGGCTGCTTTAGCAGGTGAGAACAGCCTGACTGTGCAAGTTAGAAGGCGTAAAAGCCGTCTCTAGACTCCTCAGATTTTCACGATGGCAAACGGAGCAATAATAAAATCCCAGTTGGGGCTTTCTGATGTTCTCCATTATATCCTTCTCTCTTTGGTTAGTTTTAACTTTGATAACTCTGGCCGGTAGTTTGCTTTGGTCTTTGCCTGTGATTGGATTATTTTGAAAAGCTAGAGTAAAATGAAGATTACTCTCTCAGGAAAAAATGATGGCAGAATAGCTGTGGCCTGATTCTCTCTTTTCTCAGCCGATCAGCGCCAATGTAGGCGATTTCTAGTCGGTGGCATTTGCCCTTGCTGCCAGCTTAGGTGTTGACTTCAAGTACTGGGTTTAAAGGGGAGGGGGGTGAGTAGGTGAAAGAAAGTTGTCTGCCTTTAGTGTGCTCATCCAGATGAAAGTCACAAAGACTTCTCTAGATCTTAAAACTGATGGAAGCTTTATTTTGTTTAGTGAGATTTGATGTGGAATCTCAATTTTTCTATTATCCTTCCTATCAACAGTAGCTACCTAGGGCTGAAGTGTCCCCAGATGAGCTCCTACAGGGCAGGGCATGGGTGAGGTCGAACCGTACGATTGACGCTGCCACTCTGCTACAACGCCTGACAGTTCATCTGGAGAATTTGTACCTCTTGCACCCAGGAGCTTTCAGCAAAAAAGCAAGTTTCTGGAAGTCTTATCTGTTCTTTGGCAAGTGTGGACACTTCTGCTTTCAGAAAAAGCTTGCTTTCCTGTGACTTTCCTGATAAGGCTGCTCCTGGAGCACAGCGTCTCCATCAGCTCTTATGACAGCACGCGCCGGCGGGTGGACCTGCTGTCGGTAACATTGTGATCAATCTTCCTTGCCCAGGATTTTCTATCATTTTAATTTTAACTGCCAAATCCCAGCCCGGTCTGCTTCCCCTTATCGCCCGAGTTCCCTGAAGGCTTCCTTGCCTGCTAGGCTCCAGCAACCCGGGGCTTTCAGGCTGTTTCACAATTATAGATATGCAACTCAAGGATTAGCTTGTTACTCTGGAAGGCTTTTGCTTTGTGTGTTTGCAGACAAGTATTCCAGCTTGTATTAAATGACGATCAGCTTTAAGCTGACTGGTACTTTGTGGTGTTATTTGTTGGGGGATGAAAGTCTCGAGCACTCTTTGCGAGTAAAATTTGTACTTTTACTCAAATTCCTGCCAGGGACCAACCAGTTCCGTGGGGTCTCCAAACAACAAAAATGAAATAAAATTCACTGTCACCTCCTCCTTCTAGAGCCTTCACCCATCCTGTATTGCTTTATGCTCTTAAATGCCAAAAAGTTTTGGTGTGTATTGGTACCTGCGTCCCTGTCCTCACCTGCGACTCCAGAGGCTGCAAGACAGGAGTCAGAGCAGTATTTTGGCACAGATTTTAAACACCGACGTTTCAGAGGCTGCTGCAAAAATGCAGCCTGGCATGCATTACTCAAAAGAAATCAAGCAAGAATAAAATGAAAGAGACGAGTTATAAGATATAAAGTAGGTAAAGGAAAAAGGCTTTTCCCTTAACTTTGAGAGAAACATCTTTTGTGTCTTTTAGAGGTGAGTGAACGGTAAATTTGGATTAAAGCACTTTAGTGAAAAAAAATCACTTGATTTTACTATTTTTCTTTCCCAGTAAGTTGATTTATGTGACTTTCCTGGGAATTTAATTCTGCCTGCTCTCTCTGTGGAAGGACAATTTTGAGGTGAACAAGCACTGATTTAAGGTTTGCAGGAATTGTACCCTAGAAAAAGAACTGTTTAGCCCTCGTGGGATAGAAATGCCGTTATCCTTTTGATCTTGATGCTTGAAGGCGTACATTCATTACCAGCCAGGATCAGGAGAAACAAAACCTTGATCTTGGCTAGGATACTGCATAAATAGGAGCACTGGGGCTGAAGTTTCTCATCCCGCTGGGCAGTATGTAGAGGTGGAGGTGGATGGGGCTCTTGCTCTGGGCACAGTCTTTTTATCTCCTTCAGCAAGAGTGTCACCACCGGGTTAGCCGCTGAGTGACACTGGTGGAATGCTTCAAGCAATAGGTACTTGTTGAAGCACAGATGCTTTAGTTTTCTGTAATCAGAAACAGACAGCAAATCTGGGACCCATCCTCTGAGCTGTGCATTGGTATTCTGCACCCTGCCTGCTGCAAAGAGGTCACGTTTTGACGAAGGAACACAGAAAAACAATACAGGCAGCTGGGCGCACTCTAGAGCCATTGTGGTGCTCTGACAATGATACTCTTTTCGCCTAGTGTTGCTGTAGATTTTGTTCCCCTGCTGTGTTCCTTTCGTAATTGCCAATTAAATAAGTATCTTGGACTCAATTTATCACCGGCCTAAATTCGTCTGTGTCAGGCAAGGGAAACTGGGTTAGCATTTGGCAATGCAGGTATGTTTTAGGAGCAGTAGACTTACTTAGTTTGGGGAAGAAATATTGTTGTGTATGTGATAAGTTGGCTAATTTTGTCCTCTAGCGTCATTTCCTGAAAGAGAAGCAACAGGGTTTATAATTGATTTGACTGAATAATAAATGATACATTCTTCTACTGCAAAGTAGGCAGCATTTCCAGTCTATGAATCTTCTGTGGATATGAATGGAGAGACTCTAAATAGTACGTGACCGGGGGTAGTTATTCCCCCCTAGGCACTGCTGCACACCAGAGCACAGTGTCAGCGACTTGAACAAGAAACCTGAGGTAAATTAAAGTTTTTTTAAAGTTTCTTTTGTCTCTCTCCCATTGCTTTATTGCTGAATTTCTTCATAGGAGCTTTCACCAGACCTCACTTCCAGCTGTGGCTTTAAAGGTGTGCTGTACCTGTCCACAGCACACAGAGAAAGGCTCCAGGTTTAACAGTTAGGCGTAAGCCTTTGTCACCTTATCAGCAAAAGTTGCAAAGGAGTCCTTCTTATATCCCTTTGTACATGGATTTGAATTTTTTTTTTCTTTCTTGGTCATTTAGGTAGGCTGTAGTAAGCCTAGTATTAAATTAATGCTAGGGACAATATATAAAATAATACGCAAAGTGTATGGCCAGATTTTCAAATCTGGATGTTGTTTTTCGATCTCCGAGTTGAGACCAGCGACACTTTCCCCCAGGCACTGACTATCTGCAGGGCCACTTCGTACAGCTGGAGGTGAGGCTGCTGAAGTGCCTGCGCACTTCTGGCCAGAGCCGGTATCAAAATAAATGTTCAGGGATGAGCTTGGAGCTTGCTGCTGAAATTACTGCAAGTTCATCTCTAGGTACCCAGGAGAACACTATTAAACCTCTGTCTTGTAACTCCTTCAGGTGCTGGTGCGTTTGCCAAAAGGCGCCCAAGCAAGCTGTAGCCCGTATGGCCGGGCAGATGGATTTTGTGCGTCATCAGGTCCCTTTAGAAGTAAAGGCACAATATTAAGGTGACACAGTCCTTGTGTGTTTAAACAGTTGGCAAATGAAGCAAGATGTCTCTTGTTGTGCTTGGTAGCTGCTATTTTGCGTTTGTGTCCAGAGCTGGGAGATGCACTGTGTTGGAGAGGATGCAGCTGGATGGAGATGGCAAAAGATACTGGTGGATCTGTCGTTAGTTCCAGCCCTAGGTCTTTGCCTATGTATTATACGTCCCTTAATGAGCATCCTGCATCATTTGAACATATGGTAAACAAAACGCTCCATAATTTCTTAAATGTAATGCATTTTTAGGATGAAGCTTGTAGGCTTTTCCTCTTTAGGCTTGAGTCATGCTTCGGGTTAATAGCCCAATTAGTTGCTAATGGCCAGTGTGTCCATATCCAGGAGCAACGAAGCTCCAACTGGCTCTGGTGCTGCCAGGTCCCACCCTGTGGCCAGTGAGCTCTGCATTGGTTGTGGGACCAGTTCTGCAGAAGCACTTGGAGATAATTTTTGGTCTGAATCTTTAAATCTGAACGTAACCCTTGATTTTCAGTCGTTGTGCCCCTCGCTTTGCCCGTTCCCTAACAGCGGCTCTGTTGCTGTTTGCAGATGACGGGAGGCTGTCCCTGGAGGAGTTCCAGGCCTTTTTTTCTGACGGGACACTCAATGAAGAAGAACTTGAGAAGCTCTTTCATACTATTGACTCGGATAACACCAAGTAAGTTCCCCGTGCTGACACCCCACTGTTTCACAGAGCCTTTGGATCACAGCATTAGTGTGCAGGGGCAGTGCTGCTCCGGAGAGCTACGCGCCACGGAGGCTGCGGGGGCGCAACTCGCTTTGCAAAACTTTGCAAAATCTCCATTTCTGCTTAGTTTGTGTCTCAGCGTGATGGTCACTATGACTTCTTTTGTCCTGGTGATTTTTTCAGGCCATTTTCTTTAGTGCAACCTGATCTTTACAGCATCTGAAATGATGCTTAGTTTTACCCCTGAGGGCATTTAAATGTCTCTTCAGCTTTTCCACTTTATCTAAAAGCTTCGCTGTGCTACAAAAGGTAACGGTGTGACTCTCTGTGAGCATTGTCCTATCCAGCTGTTTTACACACAACAAACTGGAATGATTTGTGGTCTTGTCTCTTTGTGATCTCTCTGTATCCCCTGCACTTGGACCATGCCTGCTTTGCCTCCGGTCCAAAATATCCCCTGGTGCAGTGATCACTCTAGCACTTAATAGAAACGAGCCCCCTTCTCTTCAAGGTGGAATTCAGCTGCATGGAGGCCAGCTCAAGCCCTGCAGCTGCTGTTGCAGATGCTTTGCCTCTGCTCTGATCCAAGCAGCCTGATGTGGCTGTACAAAGCCTGGGCAAGGCAGCAAGGGCAAGTGGACGGATCCACGAGCAGCACTGCACTCTCTGCATCACTGCATTTTCCTGCAGTAGCAGCAGGGAAAAATGATGGCAGAGGGGGGCTCTAGGTCTGCTTTAGTTTTATGTTGCATCAAAATTGACGCTAAATATGGCTCACGCTGAGAATCAAGCTTTCGCAGGCTGCGCCGAGCTATCAAATTAAGGTGACAAACTCGTTAGCAGCCCCTCCACCTGCCTTTGCTGTCTCTCCCTCAGTGTCCCCTCTGACTGCCCTTGCCTTTGGCGGGGTCTGAGGTGTTTGTGAGCCCCCTGACAAGTGTCTGGCACCAGCGGTGTTTGAGATTGGCACAAAGCCGTGGGTCTGTGGGCCCCCAGTGGGAGCCCCCCCCGCCAGCAGCTAGTGACGGCACTGGGCACCGGCACAAAGGACACAGCCCACTGGTGGGTTTTCTTTTTCCAAGAGGAACCCGTCTTCAAAAGCCTGAGTAGTTTAGGCTGTTTGGAAATACAAACGAAAGCCAGCTTTGAGTCATATTCCAGTGTGACTCTTATTCCTCTGGAGAGAAAAAGATCTGTCCAAAAAGCAGATGAAAAGAGAATCCAATTTCAAATGAGGAGTCTTGCAGTAAGTGCTTAAAAAAATAATAGTCCGGTTAATTATAAAGCCTTCTGGCAGCAGGTAGATCGAGTCTTGCCCATGTGAGTGGTGCATGCTTTGCCACCCATCCAAAATATCCCCTGGAAAGCAGTGATCGCTCTAGAGTGCGCTGGCCCCAAAGCAGCAGATGTAAAACTCATCAACCCCGGTACAGGGGCTGCTGCTGAAGACATTTCTGAAAGCAAAGTAAATGTGAGGTTTCTCAAAATCCTGTCTTTCCAATGCGTGCACTTCCCAAAGTTTATTCCAAGATCAGAAATGCCAAAGACCAGCTTGGTATATACTATTCAGTGAATAATTAATCAAAGGATCTTAAGTGATCTTGTTACTAAAATTCGCTGAGAATGATCCATCCCTTCTAATGGCTCCTCTTCGACAGACACTAGATGCTGCCTTATGCTTTGTGGGTCTATTTATTGAGCTCCAGGCCATGCTCCCGGGCGGGATCTCTCTAGGCTCCGGGTCTTGGGTGTTCACCTGCCTCTGTTCTGAAATAGTTCATATCATTGCCTGAGGTTATCAACTTTCATCTGGCCTTTGAAAGGATGCAGACAGCTGATGTGTAAACCGGGGTGTATGGGGGTTAGTGTCTGGATGTTTCTTCTGGCCTTCTTGAAATGGGAAATTGGATTGCAGTCCGCTTTTGCTTGGGGATTGTAGAGAATCTGCAGCTTGCTCCGAGCCTTAGCAAGGGATGTCTTCTAATCTGGACAGAGAGAAAATGTGCCATTTCTAAATGTCATGCTGCCGGCAAGCGGGGTCTCGCTGAGCAGCTCCTGAGCGTGGCAAGAGTTCCCACAATTCAGTAGTATTTTTCTTTTGCCAAGCTGGCTTGATCCAGTCATCGATACCCGTTAGGGACCGATACTTGCACAGAGCAGTGTAGCATCTGCTGTTCTTGGCTGGAAGGAAAAGCAATGAGTTGGTCACCCTTCCAAGTTAAATCCTTGCATGAAATTGGCACTTGCTTATTGATTTGGAAATCATAGACACCTACAGCAAATTTATCAAGTTGGGGGAAGAAAATATTCCTGTTTTTTATCTGCAAGAGCGCTCTCAGTCTCCAGAAAACCTATTTCAGTGTCGTGCTTCCTTCTGCAAAAGTGCTTTTTGCTATGAAACCAGTAGTTTGCTTGTCTGCAGTCTTGCATCTAGTACAGTCCTTCAAAGCTGTGTGTGTGCTCTTCACCTTGCCCTGCCTTTTGTTCTCCGCACAGTAAATCGGTGGGTCTGTGGGAGGTCAGGCAGGAAGGATGCTGCCTCCAGCCTCCTGTGTGCCCGAGCACTAGGGTTGCAATTTCGAGTGCTGCTGCCGCCAAGCAAGAGGAGTGGAGCTTTCATTTTTCCATTTTACAGGGGAACATAGGAACAATATTAACTTTATCTTTCCAAAAGGCAGTTTGAGTGACAATTATTTGCCATTTGGTAGAAGTTTGTTTATTTTTAAGGCTGTTTTTTGATACTCCGTTTTATCTCTGTGTTTTTCTCATATTGCCCATCATGTTTGTTTAGTGTGAAAAACAAAGTTTGCTATTGAAATTACATTACAGCTAGAGTAGAAAATGAAGAAAATTATGTTCCTGCTGATTATTAGTAATTGCTGTTACCAGCCAAATTACAAAATGTTGATTCAATTTCCTGGAGTATTTTTAGGAGCAGGGAACTGCCTTACTGAAGAAGATAAAATGATTATTAGTGTTACCAGCCAAATTACAAAATGTTGATTCAATTTCCTGGAGTATTTTTTATTTTTAACTGTTTTTTGATACTCCGTTTTATCTCTGTGTTTTTCTCATATTGCCCATCATGTTTGTTTAGTGTGAAAAACAAAGTTTGCTATTGAAATTACATTACAGCTAGAGTAGAAAATGAAGAAAATTATGTTCCTGCTGATTATTAGTAATTGCTGTTACCAGCCAAATTACAAAATGTTGATTCAATTTCCTGGAGTATTTTTAGGAGCAGGGAACTGCCTTACTGAAGAAGATAAAATGAATGTCCCCATCATGTTTGTTTAGTGTGAAAAACAAAGTTTGCTATTGAAATTACATTACAGCTAGAGTAGAAAATGAAGAAAATTATGTTCCTGCTGATTATTAGTAATTGCTGTTACCAGCCAAATTACAAAATGTTGATTCAATTTCCTGGAGTATTTTTAGGAGCAGGGAACTGCCTTACTGAAGAAGATAAAATGAATGTCTGTACCGGTTTCTCGAGTTGCTTTAGTTGGGAAGATGGTGGAAAGGAGAAAAGCTGGGCAGAGGAATGGGAAGGTGAAGTTGGTTACGGATGCAGGAGTAGCTGTGCTGCTGTGGGGAGTCAGTCGTGATGCGCTGCAGCTGACAGTCCCCCAGTGAAACACCTCGTTGCCAGCAAGGTGCGGTTAGGAGGACGCTGAACTGAAATGAGATACCCCAAAATAGCCCAGGGGCGTTAATGAGGCTCCTTCTTTCTTCTTGACTGCCTGGGAAGTGTCTCTAGGAGGTTAACGATGTGGCGTGGTGGGCATGGGCTCCAAAGACCCGCCCCGGGGTTTTATTACCGGGTATCTCCATAAGAGAACCTGCCATCCATGGCAGGGTGCGAGGACTGTGCTGTAAGTCCCATCATCGCTGGTTATTTCATCTGGCAACAGGAACGTGCAAAATGTATCACGTATTTCACTTGGTTTTTTGGCAAAATTATATTAATAAACCTGCTGTTGCTTAAAAACAATGATCAAGTGGCATTTTTCTCTCCATTGCTCACACTGGCTGCCCTCCTTCCCTCCTCCCAACTGAAGCAGGAGGCAAAAGCAAGACGTTGCCAGGTGGTTTTTCACTATTAGTTTTAGCTGCTATTGCAGGAGGTTTCAGCAGTGCTTTATGGGGAGCTGCCTGAAGATTAATGGGGAGGTAATGATATGTTGCTATTAATATCAATGCTACTGGAATTGCACAAATTATGTGTATGATATGTAGACACACATTTAAATATATATATTTGGTTTAGTGGCAGAACAGGGCTTTAGAAAACATTAGATTGATGTTCCCCTGGGAAATCCTGTTATATTTGCAGAGTTATCTACACCTTTTCTTACTTCTTCTAACGATATGTATCAATTTTAAAAGGAAAAAGTCATAGCAAATGGAAAATCAAACAAGTTTTAGGGTCATGAATGTCCAGATGAAACCCTTTAAAAATGTTACTGTGATACTAGACGAAACTTGCTTTGTCTGACCCACAGTTCCTATCTTCTTCCAGCTCCCTGGGCCGGCACGTACCCCCCCCTCTGCATCCCCTCGGAAGAAAGGAGCACTTCTCAGTCCTTGTGAAAGCAGGGGAAGGTCTGATGTGGCTGTTGACCAAACAAATTTAGTCCTGGCAGGGGATTTTAAAAAGTCCTTTTCTATCTTGTACATTTTTCATAGCTGCAGAGGACAATCCTTTGGGGAGAGATCTGCTCACTGGAGCAGGACTTCTCCGATGAGCTGTACAGGTCCATTCACAAGGAGCCAAGAACATGGCATTAGCATTCTGCTGCTCTGTCATTTGTTATCTCTTTGCTAGGCTTATAGCTATTCTTTTAATTGCTTCCACCTCCCCCGCCCCCCTAAATGAGCTCTTCTCTCCGGTGGCAAACACTAGAAAAGGTTGGAGTGTAGGATGTAGGATAATTAACAGAAGCGGTATCCCTTCTCAGAAGCCCTTC